TTATTCTCAAACGTTTTCTTAATTTCATTTACACATAACAACAATAAGAAATACATTTTTTAAATCATGTCAGGCAATAGATCCATCCACCCCTGCTCTTCCCTCAATCGCATATATTTTCCAATTATAATGGGAGGGCGTAGTTTGATTCATGATGATGCTCTTGATGACCGAATTGTATTGGGCACTTTTGTAACCTTTATTTGTCTCTTGTTGAGACTCATGATGAAAACAAGGCATCCCACAGTTTTCCTAAACGAGCAGGGATGTGGGACATAATCTCAATGTTGATTTTTTGAAGGTTTTGTACTGCTTGATGGTACAGAAATGAGTGTCAACCAAGCGAAGTGCCATATCAAATCGGGCCAGACTCCGCTTTTCAAGGAGAGGCTATCTGAAGGCCTAGTGCATCGCGTTTAGTGAAGTGTGTTGAAAAGATCAGTAACCCTGCAGAGTCCCTTACTTGGATGAAGTCGGCTGGCCTGAAAAGTGGCTTTCTGTTTGCTGCTCAGGACCAGTCACTTCCCACCCGAAACCGTCAATGTGTGATTTTGCATCAAAATGTAAATAAGACATGTCCATTATGCAATACATTTAATGAGACTGTCAAACACATTGTCAGTGGATGTCCAGCTTTGGCACACACACAGTATCTTAAGCGACATGACTAAGTGGCTCGATCCTTTTATTACCGTCTTCGCCATGGTTTTGGTTTTGACACAGAGGTTCATGCCTTGGTACGACCCAGAATATGTGGAGGGCGACATGGAAAAGTCTTGGAATAGGCCCGTATACAGCCTCAGACCTATCCAGGCCAACAAACCCGATCTTGTCATTATCGATAAATCCAATGAAATCATTTATATTATAATAATAATAATTTATATAATTTTCTGTCCCTTTTGACCCAAATGTGATTGATGAGATTCAGGAAAAACATGTCAAACATGCCGACCTCGCTTTTAAAATGTCACGCTTGCATCCCAAGTACCAAGTTGTCCGATTCCCAATTGTTTTCGGTGCCTTATGTTTGGTACCTCCCAATCTTTTGACTGACATTGGGAATGTACCCGGGTTTGTTGCCAGCCCATCTGACAATCTGGGTAATTTCACTTATATACCTGAGTGTCAGGCTTAATGTTGGCGGACAACCCATTCTGACGCAGGGCGGAATCGCTCGATGGAACCCAAAAGCACATGCGTTGTGATTATTATTCATATAAATAATAAGCTATTTTTGACTTCTAGTGTTTAATAATTCACACTTTCGAATATAATGCTATGCAAAATGACAATTGAATGAATATGCTTTGTGTTTATTTTCCTTAGTAATGATCAGTTAGTTGTAATAATTGATCTATTACATATGAAAGTATTTATTTATTGTAGCGACATTATAGAATATATGTATTGCAGTTAGCAGAACGAGCCTGGGTATTTCCAAAACAATTACGTCGACGTTCGTTCAAGGATACTGAGTGATATCCTTATTACAGGCGGACGCGGATGGTTGTAGAAACGTATGAATATTTCACGGGACATTTTCCCCCAAAAATGTGGAGTGAGGTAGGGCTTTTCAAATTGTTTTCATTGAAAACACAAATGTTGAGGGAGGAACACCTTTCCTTTTTGATCCAGCCAAGAATACTAACAAACACAACTGGGAAATCAATACATTTATTGTTTGTTTGTTATTTAACGCCGCTCCCAGTAATATTCCACTTATATGACAGCGTTCTGTAAATAATCGAGTCTGGATCAGACAATCTAGTGATTGACATCATGAGCATCGATTTACGCGATTTGGATACGATGCCATGCCTCAGCCAAGTCAGCAAACTGGACCACTCGATCCCGTTAGTCTCCCCCCACGACAAGCATAGTCGCCCCTTACGGCAAGCATGGGTTGCTGAAGACCTAGTCTCTACCCGGATCTTCACGGGTTAGCCATACAAATTATGCTCGGTTATTAGTCCAATGCCAGCTGTCAAGCATGGATTACATATGAAGCGGGTAATTTGAAAAAATATATATCGGCAATAAAATATTTGACGTAGGATTAAAAGTAATGCGCCGATGTCTGAGAATCTTTCCGGTTTTCTGCCAAACAATTACGCATCTGCAAGGGCGTGTCATTCAATAGCCTTGCAGTAATTGTGACACAACACGAGACGACCTTGGTCCAACTGCAATAGACCATACCTATACCACACTTACATCTATCGATACTGTTCATTACTTGACTGCCTACGTGATCTAGTGGATAGTGCGTTACCGCGGAGCGGTTGTTTGATACCCAACCGCGTCATACCAAACTACATTAAAAGTTGTACTTGTTGTTACCCTGCATGGCGCTCGGCATTAAGGGGCTAAAACAAGGTCTGGCCGGCTCGATGTCAGCATACTGTGTCTAATTAGGGTATCCATGTTGAACTGTGGGATGTCATAGGGATATCACTATAAAACTGGCATTGGTCCGGACTGGTACAAGCAGCCACGCACACACACACACGTCGCTATATATGTGCAAAAACGTTAAAGCACATTTCACCTCGCCACATTGTTCATTATTTAGGACGCACCCACCTTTTGTGTCACACTATTGAGATGCAAGGTGACATCTGTTACTGCACATACACAACACTCACACACAACACACAACACAAACACACAACACACACACAACACACAACACAAACTCACAACACGCACACAACACACAAAACACACACACACACACACACACACACACACACACACACACACACACGCACGCACGCACGCACGCACGCACACACACATTGTACTATTTGATCATCGTTTGATGTTCAATGAATAATGCGACGTCCACAACATATAGAACGTCTGAGGGCTACTTGTCTCAACTCAACGTATCAGCCGGTACACTTAATGTGCAACAGCCTGTAATAAGCTGATGTTGGAACAGGCTTCAGGTTCTACGGAATCGTGATCCAACAGGTAATGTAAGCTCCCACTCAGAGCTACTGGTGTTAGAGGTTCCTGATCAAACACCTCCACAGCCACGTATGATCCCCCGTTTGACTGATCGCCACATGTCAACCTGACGTCAATGGTGTATGCAATATAGGCACTAGGACAATACGATATTCGGTGTAATGTTGTCTGACGAATCCAGATTCAACTTACCCTTCGTGACAGTCGCGGTCATGTTGTAGACGTGTCACTGAACGTAACACCGATGCCAATGTCCGCCAGAATGAGGTGAGGTGAGGTGAAATGGGGTTTAACGTCGCGTCCAAGATTATTGCTCTTATATAGCGACGTGCATGTACGTGTGTGTGTTTGTGTGGCTGCTTGTACTAGTCTGGACTGATGCCGATTTATAGTGCTAGCTCACTGAGATACCATGCCGCAGTTTAACATGAATACCCCACTCAGACACAGTATACTGACTCCGAGCAGACCAGTCCTTGTTTTAGCCCCTTAATGCCGAGCGCCAGGCAGCGTAATAACAAGTACCATCTTTTAAAGTCTTTTGGTATGACGCGGCTTGGGATCGAACCCCGGACCTTCCGCTCTCCGGGCGGACGCTCTAGCACTAGACCACGGAGGCGGTCCTCCGCCAGAATGACCCGTATGGTGGAAGATCAGTGACGGTGTGGTGGACAGAAGGATATTACACATTGATGGGTCACGGCTACCTTGACGCTGGCGCATGTCGGGTTCCCTATAGCACCCAATAGCGGTCAACGTTTGTTTTTCCAAAAGGGTAATGTACAAGCAAACAAATTGCACTGCACTAGCAGAACATTCCTGTTAATATGACCAGCAGATACCCCAAATGTTTCATGAGCAAAGAAGGCGTCTTCCTCGCCTTCATCAGCTCCCAACCATGCTGGAGGAACTAGGCCCTGTGCATCAAACACAGTGGGACACCATTTCCTACGTGACCATGACCATTTGATGCCACCTTGAATCAACGAACGCTTGTTGAATCATTTCGGTTTACCCATTACTAAGGAATAAACGTCCATCTTTCAGAATGTTTCCTTAGTGACTTTGATGAACTGGTTTACCTTCAGTTGCCCGCAAGGTTATAGACTTATGATAATTATGATTTGTCAATTCCTTGTCATTTTGATGAGCTACTTATTACCAACATTAGACAACTCTTCATATTTCTCAGATGTCATTATTTGACATACCGTATAATTTGATAGTACATCTTGATCTTGTGCCAAATGGCTGTACTTCAGACATGAAGGTCAGACTCGGAGTAATGTTTAAAACGCCCCCGTGTGAGCACTGGTGTACAACCTAATGCTAGCACAACACAGATATTATTCTTGTTTTAGATGATCACTGGGCCACTATTGGTTGTTTTTAGGAACCGGTTATTTAGGGTGGGGATAAGTTTCCGCCAGGATTTACAAAAGAGCAAAAAAAGCCCGTTGACGTGCTGGATATCATGAAAGAATGCTTATGAATAGAGCATGTCTTGAAGCAGTCCCCGCAGTCTCTAACAGAAATCCCTTAGTAATTCATAAGTATTAAGTAATTGCACATTCGCTGATATGACGCAAGTGAGGAAAAAGCAGTGTAATAATCTACACTCATTCACCTCATTTTGATATCCAATACATACTGTACAGCAATTCACAAGGGTGGAGTGTTGGTGTGTGATCCCTTGATACGAAAGACTTTGGGTCTACTCCTATATAGATTTAATGTTCTCTATTTGGTTGCTTTTTACAATCAGCATAGGTTGCGGTGGTGGACCTTCTCTAACTCGGGGAGGTAGCCTTGTGGTTAAAAAACCATCACACTGAAGGTCCTGGTTCGATTCCCTACACGTGTGAAGTCCATTTTCTGGTGATATATTGCTAAAAGAGGGTAAAATTGTTCTCGCTCACTCACTTTAACCCGTAATTCCCGTAACAATATGTGTCTAACAATATTTTCTATAATTATGAAACTTAAATTCAATTTTTTTATTATGAAATGATCTTCTTTTTCAGCAATATCTAACAGTCACGTCACAATCCTTGTTCAGGGCAACGAAGAACCAGATATACTTCCGAGACTTTGTGATAGTGATTCCCCAGAATTGGACAACCCTTCCTCACTATGAGAGCGCCACGGATGCTGACGTCCACCATGCGCAAATAATCATTGACAAAGCCAACCCAGCCTACGGCGAAGCCCCGTATGTGAAACAGTATGCGACGTGTGGAGAGGCGGGGTTGTACATCCATCTGACCCCAAACTACCTCCTGGACGATGAGGTCACACTCAAATGGGGACTACCAGGTAAGGAGGTCACAAGAGAGTTGTGTCATATACTTCAACGTTATTGACCGGATATTTGACTGGGCTCCGATCCACCCAAATGAGTAAACGGCTAAAATCGCTTCGCTGTGCGGACCAACAATGGAACCAGTTTTACGCGGATAAAGTCTTTTCCGTTTTCTGTCTGATTTCTGAGGAGTGCATATTCAGCATTATTGTTTTTATTACTTATACTTATGAGGGAGACATTAAAGTGAAGTCATGGTTAAATAGATTATATTAAGTCACTTTCTCTTGGCGGATTTAATTCCATTATGTGAAGGGGTTGTAAATTGTCAAATATGTACACGAACAAGTATGTTCTATCACTTTTCATGAGGGGCACATTATCTTTTCGAATTGAAAGTGAGGAATCGAAAAAGTACTTTTACGAGTGAACTCTTTAACCACTTACCAACCGTTCCTGTTTGATGGAGCCACATTTTGGAAAGATGGTATAACTTGTGTTTGGCCATACTGTCTTTCCATTTGTGAACAATTGACTTGTTTTTGCATGTGTTTGTGACTTGTGCCACCGGTTGGGCAGGATACGCTCACCTTTTCGCGAAAACCTGGTATCATCACTATTTGATAGTAATTCATAAACACAATAAGCCATGCTCATGATACAGTCGGAATGGTACAATGGACTCCGCTTTTAGCAAAGATTTCTTATGAATATGGAAAGGGTTTTGTCGCTTTTATTCATAATAAATTGTAAAGTTTTTCAAAAGTGCGCTTTATGTCAAGCGCTAATTCTACTACCGGAGGAGAAATTGTGCTTCCCACTCAACCTTCCTACATCATATAATATATTAACCGGTTTTTACACAAGCTTATAGAACAAAACTGTCGTTCAATACTTCTTTGTAAGTATTCAAATATTTACGATACAGTTGATCAATTGTCAATTAGCCTGCTAATCTTTGAGACTAATTCTGTCATATATCATCCATTTATAATCAATTTGATAGACAGTTTCCGTGGTCGTGTGGATAGAACGTTTGCCCGGAGAGCGGAAGGACGGTGGTTCGATCCCAGGCTGCGTCAAACGCCTCGGGGTCATCATATTGTGTCTGAGTTAAACTGCGGCATGGCATTTCAGTTTGTTAACACATTACAATCAGTCTTATAGAAGATGCGGGGTAGAATAGGTCTTCAGCAACCCATGCTTGCGGTAAAAGGCGACTGTGCTCTCGTAAGAGGCGAGTAACGGGATCGGGTGGTCAGGCTTGCTGACTTGGTTGATGCATGTCATCCCATTTGCGTGGATCGATGCTCATGATGTCAATCACTGGACTGTCTGGTCCAGACTCGATTATTTACAGACCGCCGTCATATGGCTGGAATATTGCTGAGTGCGGCGTTAAACAACAAGCAAACAAACTACAAGCGAACACACATACACACGTGCATGCACGTCGCGATATAAGTTGAGTTATCTTCAACGCCACGTTAAAGCCCATTTCAGTTCCCCGCACTTTGATAGTTACGAATGATCACCATTGCTGAATATGGAATATAAATGTCAGAAGTGTCTGTAGTTCCTCAAATAAACCTGACATAAACAGCCGATTTCATTACAGCTTGGATTAAAATGATCATGTTTCCAAGTTTCCTTGCTATATTGGCATCTGACATGTCGTAAACAACTATATGTGACAGATGGACCACACGAGTCTACAATTCATGACAATGTCTGCATTTTGTTTCATTTTCATGATCGTCTTTAATGTGACTTTTATTTTGACATGAGTGAATACATATGTTCCCGGGGCAAACGTTAACTTGTAATTCACTTGAAAACTTTAGTGAACATGTAGGTTGAATCACGAGGACCTTATGACTGATCACCTCGTGGTCTATCTCATTGACGAGCAACGATTAGACGCCAGGGTCCGAGTTGTCTAACCTTTTACAAAACTACATTGTATGGCCAGCAATCAAGTTTAACTAACAAAAAAATGATTGCTTTTATAAACGTCTTCAAACAGATATTCAAGAACACTGTTCTCAACTATGAAATGCATGTTCAGGGCAAGAATACGATTCAAAGAACATTTGTCAATCAACTAAATATTACTTGCCCATGACGATGGGCCTTATGTGAGCCAACATAGCTCTGGCAAAGAAGAGCAATTTTAACGAAAATTTACTTAATCGCATGTTCGCGCAATGTATTGAATGCCATACTGACTAAATCACAAATATCGCTTTTCGTAAAGGTATTTGTGCGCGTGCACGTGCGTGCGTGCGTGCGAGCCCCAGAGCCCCAGTGCAGCCACATTCTATCACCTTCACGTGGAGTTTTCACATATCCTTATTCACTTGCACGCACTGTAATTGATCAGTGGTCATACGTGATGACTTGGTTGAAGTAGATCATTGCTCACGATACTGAAGACTTGATTGCAAATTGTCTGGTCCAGATTCGCTTGTTTATATATCGAATCTTAATTCAAGAATATTCCAGGGTGCTGCGTTAGACAAAAAAACCAAAACAAAACAAAACGCTTACACTTACATCTTATAGGATACGCTTACCCTATTCGTGAACACCTGGTGTCATCCGGATTTTCAGTGATATTTAGTTTGACCAATGGAATTTGTTGCGGCAGATGATCGAGACTGATAATTTTCTAGCGTTGACGTTTTGAATTGAGCTGAATTATCCTAAGTAAACACCGTGGAGAAGTAGTCTGCTGGTTAAAACGCTAGCATTTCACATCCAAGTCCCGGGTTCGACTTCCCACATGGGTTAACGTATGAAGCCTTTTATGATGTTCCACACTGTTATAATCCTAGAACACTGAAAAATACTCTCACACATTCCCGTAAACGACGCGTGAAGTATTCGGGTAGAGAATAAGTCTTCAGCAACCCATGTTTGCCGTAAAAGGTGACTATGCTTGAGGCGACTAACGGGATCGGGTGGTCAGGCTCGCCGACTTGGTTGATGCATGTCTTCGTATCCCAGTTGCAGAGATCGATGCTCATCATGTCAATTATTTGATTTTTATGCCCGGATGCTATCATTGAGAGCCCGCCGTCCTATAGCTGGAATATTACTGAGTGCGGCGTTAAACAACAAACAAACAAACAAACAAACAAACAGATATTCCCGTAATGCTTCTCTGAAAGGATGTCATCTTCTTAGTTATTGTAATTTATCAAAAGTCAACTCATTCAAAACACCATGCATCGATATGTCTTCTACGTGGTTTTCTTTATATATACCGTGATTCTATTTTCAGAGAAGACTTTGGTCCATGAGTGGGCACATCTACGGTGGGGATTGTTTGATGAGTACCCCATTGATCCGCAAGACACGCCCTTCTACAGACATGCCGGCAAGTGGGAACCAGTCAGGTGAGACTCAGACTCGTGTCTTATATAAGGATGGACATGTAGTAAAACAAGCAACAATTACATTATGATTTCATTTTTTCATCGTGTTACTGATAATGATAATAGTGCCCCTTTTTATAATCCAATGGACCGCCGTCATATAGCTGAAATATTGCTGATATTGCGTAAAACAACAAACCAACCAAAAAATAATCCTATGGCGTATCATCTTATGACTATTTCATTTATTTATGTCAACCGCTCAATGTAACCACGAACATAGAGTCACGCGACACGCGACAGTCAATGAGTATTAATTACAGGACGACAGATTTACTACCTTAAACAGCTCAACATTAAATTCAAGGGAAAACTGCGCGTACTGAGATGGCAGCAGTTGGCGTATACTTACTTTCATTACCTTTAGATATTGCTGAAAATGCTCCAGTTGCATGGCAATGTGGGGTACTATTTGCATGACATCATCTCCAAGCAGCTAATCACACACATTCAGGTCCCACGCTCAGAATATAGCTATCAATTAACGCTGAGTTGTATATCTTGGTATTGTATACGACTAAAGATTGGTGAGTTCATATTTACTCGTAAAGGATATGTAATGGGTCAGGGCCCAGTCATCTAAAGCGCCCCTTATCTCGCTGTGAAGAGTTGCGTACCATGGACGTGCCAGAATCCTACGGTCGCGGCTTCGATTCCCAGATTTCCACAATAACCAGTGATCATGGGTTCTACCAAAGCGGTCGACGACCTACATACCTGCTTCCAGATTAAGCCGTGATATATACTAATATACATCAGCTGTTTAAAGCCGCCCTAAACCCAACCATATTCTGTATGAAATATCAATACCCACTGGTGCTTGGTGGTATGAGTTCATACAGAGCTGGTTTCTGAAAACAATTCTCTCATTCTCGAAATCAGCAACTCGATTTTGTCTTTAACATGTTCTAGAAAATGTGCGAAAGTACAAATAAAATGATATTGGCATTCCTAAGATCTGCACTCGTATTAGTTGGTGCTCAAATTCTTGAAGAGCATTGGTGAGGGAGTGAGCTAGTTGGGTTTAACGCCGCTTTAAACAGTGTTTCAGTAAAGAGGAACGTTGAGAAAAGTACATCATTTGAAAAACATTCATCTAATAGTCAGATCAGAATAAGTCAGAAGCTAAAATGTAAGTGCTTAGTCGTATATTCATATTTTGATAATATCTTTCAGTCCAAACATACTCATTAAATGAATACTGGTTTCTCTGAATATATTTTGGTTGTTAATGATGAATAAAAGAACATGCTAGCTGACGGTAAAGTGCCAATATTGACATGACATGTTCTAACTTGAAAGCCCTTGTTAATACCCTTCTATTATCTTCTGTCTCTTTGCTGTATACATAATCTCAGAGCAAACATACCAGGTCACATTCTTTGAAATAGAATATGCCAATCATGAATCCAGATTTTCTGAACATGTTTTTATTCTCAACTCGTTTAGTTGATGGACATGTTTAGGTTTAAAAAATGTTTAAATATTTGTGTGGGAGAAAATTCTCTGTTAATGTATGCAGACCAAAATTAAGAAGAGTTATGTCTGTTTTACTGTATTGTTTTCCGTCATTTAAGGACGAGTAAACAAAAATGATATGCACACAAAACACAATGACATGCAACTTATGACGTTAATGTGAGGTGTGGCTCATGTAAATAGGACGATATAAACACACATCTCTTGTGTCACTGAGGGAAGAAAAGGAGCAAAGCAACCTCCCCGTTGTGACATTTACCACGCTTGATGTTGTTCGTTCATGTGGAAATGTATTGTTTTTTGTACCAAGTGTGATATGCTCATGATTGAAAACGGTTCTCTTAATCTTTGAAAATTAAGATATGCTTGTGTTTTTTTTGGTTTTCTATTAAGTATTTTTTTATCTTTTGACAAAACTGTGTATAAATTCATGACTCGAAATTCCAAAATAATCTCATGCTTTTCCATCAAAGTTTTAGTTTAATATCGGGTTATATTCCTTCCCTTGTATAAAGCGTTCTGACGGGAAAACATTTTGATTTTTGGCTTTTGTTAACCTTATTACACATGACATCAAGCTGCAACTATGTTTGGAAGCGAAACCGTACCTTCGAACGCTTTACACATTATGCTATCTGCCGAAGTATATATGTCGTACTCACGTTACCTGAAGAGACGACTATGCATGCCTCATGTGATATATTAAAAAGTGTAATGGCCCCACCCTCACGAAGGTGGCCAACCTTAGGATGCTGACGGACAAGTGACACGAACATTGTGTTCAGGTGACGGATCATTCCTTCAACTGCTACACGTGGACAACACAAGCCATCATGAATTGGCTGTAATTTGTCATGTAATATAAAGTGATGATTTGAGGTCTCTGAAGTTGAGGTGTGTTTACATGCCGTCAAATGGATGACGTTTTATCAGGGTTTGTCCTGTCGTTGGACATTATCTAAGCATGAACATTCGGAGAATTCAAAGGACGCGAACTATATCATGTGAAAGGCACGACATTTCGTTTTCTATTCTCCTTTTGACAATACATTGTGTACATATATGTTGTAAATTATTATTTATGACTTAGTTGGACAGATCCCTCAATGACAATGCATGATGAACATTTAGGTTGTAAATTAATTATTTAATACTTAATTAAGCAGATTCCCCAATGACATTACATGATGAACATATAGGTTGTCAATTACTTACTTAATACTTAATTAAGCAGATTCCCCAATGACAATACATGATGAACATTTAGGTTGTAAATTAATTACTTGATACTTAATTAGACAAATTCCCCAATGACAATACATGATGAACATATAAGTTGTCAATTAATTACTTAATACTTAATTAAACAGATCCTCCAATGACAATACATGATGTACATATGGGTTGTAAATTAATTACTTAATACTTAATTAGACAGATTCCCCAATGACAATACATGATGAACATATAGGTTGTAAATTAATTACTTAATACTTAACTAAACAGATGACAATACATTATGCTAGATACATTTGGTAATACATTATTATTTAAGTACATAAAGGTTGTAAAGAAATACACTGTAGTGACAGGACTGGATATGACTTAATACAACTGACGGAGTAGATGACAAGTGGGCATTCATCAATCTGGGATTCGACATCCAAGATCAGCGGATTGCGGTTGACAAAGCGACGCATGCAGTGGTGCGACATTCTTGACAATTCATGGTCACATGCTTCATTTACAATTATTTGGCTTTAAATAGAACATCTAGAATAAGAAAATAGAGAGTGAATATATAAAACAACAGACTTTATATCTTCCGATTTGTTCTAATTACATTATTTCTGTTATTATATTAGCAGATGTCTTGCAATATGGCTCACACATGATTTATAACGATTGACATAATAATTTGCATACGACTTGTAAACTGTGGTTTAATTAGTGTTTTGTGTGACAGCAAGTTTGATACATGTTAGTGCGAATATATTGCAATACCCGAAGACATGCATTAGTAATTTGTTAACTTTTAGTGTTGTGTTAACATGAACATTATTTCAGTAATATCAAAGCGCCCAAGCCATATGGGAGAAGGGGCGAAGGTTGACTAAGTTGGTTGTACACAGCACTTCGCTGACGCCAACAAGCTCTGGTCACAGACCAAGAATACAGGCTGCCCGCGACCAGAGGATCCTTGCATGACTAAGGGACCCAACTCTGCAAATCCAATCATGGCGAAATTGAATTTGTCAACAGCGTCGGTTGTAATCCTTTGTACAAAACATGTATATCGCAAACTGTGAGTACAGTTACCAATGTTACTTTTCCAGATGTTCCACGGAAGTGGAAGGGGTTCTGCGAAGCGAGCGCACGAAAGGCGAGTGTCCATTTGACATGTACACCGGACAACCAGGAGATGGGTGCAAGTTCTACCCCATAATGAAGCACAACCAGGGCGTGTCGTCCATAATGTTCATGCAGTATCTAGACAGCGTAAGTGTAACCATATACTCCATAGTTGCAAGATATATTTATGTATATTGGTTTGTTGTTTAACGCCGCGCTTAGCAATATAACAGCAAAATGACGGCGGTCTGTAAATTATCGAGTCTAGACCAGACAATCCAGTGAATGACATCATGCACATTGATCCACGCAATTGGGATACGATGACATGCATCAAACCAAGTCAGCGAACCTGACCACCCGATCCCGTAAGTCGCCTCTTTCGACAAGCACAATCGCCCTTCAAGCCAAGCATTGGTAGCTGAAGACCTATTCTAACACACATATTCACGGGTTGACATATGTATGATATATACTAGAAGGTGGTGAGGTGAAATGGTTTAAAGTTCAGGATTACTTCACGTGTAGGTGTCTGCCTGGTCGATTGGATAGAGTGTGGAAGGACGATGGTAACTTTGATCCCCGGCCGCGGCACATCAAAATACATTAAAATATAGTACTTGTAGTTACCCTGCCTGGCACTCGGTATTAGGGGTAAAATAAGGACGGTTCGGCTCGGAGTCGGTATTCTGTGTCTGAGTTGGGCATCCATGTTAAACTGCGGCATGGTATCTCAGTGAGCAGGTACCATATAACCAGCAAATGTCTGGACTAGTATAGGCAGCAACACACAGGTGCATGCACGTCGCGATGTAAGTGCAATTATGTTGAACGGGACTTTAAACGCCATTCACCTCGCTTCATCCCACCTCACCTCACCTCACCTCACCTCACCTCACCTCACCTCACCTCACCTCACACCTCACCTCACCCAACCGTACCGCACCCCGTCTTTAACATGATATTTAAATAGACATGACAAGGTATTCTGATGACGTACGTTTGACATTTAGCACATGAATTTTAAATAAATGTGTTTTTCTGACGCGGACAACCAATATTATGTCAGGATATTCAGCATAAAATATTCAGTATGCACACGTTATAGATGTTCCCTTTGTGACAAGTGCACCAAATACATGGCTATATTTTTCACATTAAACATGTCGAAAACACCCTTGTACTTAACCATCAAGTGTACAGCTGAACCTATTTTGAATTTGATGTCATGACCATCACAGAACTGATTAACGTTAGTCATATGTTCAAAATTGGTGTTCTTTACCTTCTTGTGAGTAGTATATATGCTGTCACAACACCGTTGGAAAATGCCAGTATGGCTTGTCAAGTCTTTGATTGCCAGAACACTGGAAAGGAAATTTGAAAAGGTGAGGTGAAATGGGGTTTCACGTTTCGTTCATATACATATAGACAAGGAGTGTCACCCGCCATCTTTGTCCTTATTCAAGATTCCGTGTGTGTGTGTGTGTGTGTGTGTGTGTGTGTGTGTGTGTGTGTGTGTGTGTGTGTGTGTGTGTTGAGACAAGCTGCCCTCAGACGTTCTATATGGTGTAGACGTCGCATTGTTAATTGAAAATCAACGATGATCAAATTGTACAGTGTGTGCGTGTGTGTGCGTGTGTGTGCGTGTGTGCGTGCGTGCGTGTGTGCGTGCGTGCGTGCGTGCGTGCGACCCAGTATACTGACTCTGACCTAACCAGTCCTTGTTTTAGCCCCTTAATGCCGAGCGCCAGTGGGGTAGCCGCAAGTACCATATTTTAGAGTCTTGGAAGAAGATGAATTCAAACGTGTTTATTGCTTGTAACAAGGTTTCTGGGCTCCTTCTTTAGCTCTCATCCTGCATGAAGAGGCACGGGTGGCCCAGTCGTCAGAGTTGCGTCCCTTGGGGACACCAAAAATCTATGATTATGGGGTCGAATCCCGGTTACCCCAGTTATATTTCCAAGTTTGTTTCACCAAAGTTGTAAACGTCTGAGACCTGCATCACTTTGGGCTTTCATCCCACATTAAACTGATACACCGTGATATAACTGCAACACTGTTCAAAGCGGCGTTAAACCCAACTCACTAACTCACTATAAGAAACAAGAAGTAGCCTAGAAACGTTGTTACAAGCTATAAAGAACGTGATATCAACAAAGCTTTGTTATATTAAAATGGGTCGAACCCATGGCCAGGAAAGATGAAATAACATCTGTTGACAGCTTTGTGCAAAATATGTATATATATTCCAGCATGCCAGTGATTTACCGCCCACAACATTCCATTTTTACTTTGTAATATTCTTTTAAAAAAGCTCAATTTGTCATGTGTCAAGTATAGTGTTTTTTCCGACACACGCTGACGAGACAAATGAGACATGCTTTCACCATAAACACTGCACAAGTACAAGCAAAATAGAAAAAATCACATATTTTAATAATTTATGTCTGTTATTTCTGTATAAAATGATATGATTGATGATGTAAGGCTATTGACGCGAACCAGCTCAACGTAAACAGCGACACATTGGGTGGGGCAATGCTTGTGTTTCACTTCAGCGGTGAAGTCTTAAATAACTTAATATAAATAATAATGTTGGTGTACCATCATCACGTATATCCAGCATCTTGACACCCACCCTAAACCAGGCGACAAATCCAATGAGGATCACCTACCGGGGGATGATGCAGGGCGTGTTGTTTTAAGTAATAAAATTAAGCTGGAGAAAGATGGATCACAACAAAGAGTGGAATGTATTTAGATAATAGATTGGCACAAGGACACGTTTTGTAACCGAACGAGTTCACCTTGACCTGACCTTCAGCGAAGGTATAGTTAGAGAGGCCTGCTTGTAAATATGGCTCAAGTGCTTTAACTTTAAAGCCTCTTTAAGTATGTCGGTTATGTAGCAGCGTGTCAGTTTAAGGTAGGATGAAATGTATTATGATGGAATCCTACAAGGGACATTGTCACCCAAACAAGCCAAGAGTATCATAACTAACTAGAGCGCGACATCGCGGCAATGCGACAAATGGTCAAAATATCGCGTTGCCGTATTAACGCATTTTCGCGCTTTGGTTAATTTTGACCCTTTTTACTTGTTCATTTGAGGACGACAACGCGAGAATGTCCTTTTTAGGAATCAATAGAAAACCCATGTGACGCAGTTCATGGGTGGGTTCCATTTTGGTGAAACCCAGGAATACTGGTGAGTGTGTTTATTACGGTAAAGGGGCCACCGGCCTTTTATTCATGAAACTTGACATAATAAGCGCTGAAGCGCCACATAATATGATTACAGTTTCTGTTTATGCAAATATTAAATGATTGACATCCATATTATGCAAAATAATTACTACGTTTCTTTAAAGCTAAAAAGATAAATTTAGCCAAATTATTTATGACCTTGATTTTCCGTGATGTGAATAATAAAATAAGCTTATTGTTCGATGGGAATTTATAATAAAATTCTAGAATAAGACTTTCTCTTAAGTCCTGATCAAATGGGACATTCAAGACAAAAATGTAGTTCTGATTCAATATTAGGTATTACACAGAAGGGACAAAGGCGATTCTTACGGTCAAGTTTGAGACGACGACCGTTCTGGTGCTGACAAACCATCATAATCACACGATTCTGGGATTTGAACCATGTGGGACTCGCTCCTGGCATAGTCATGGGAGATACCTTAATGTTGGATGAAAGCTCAAACTGGCTTAAACGTTAACCATTTAAAATAAACCTCGTCCTTTCCATAAAAATTGTGTCGCTGTGGCGAACTGTTATCCTAAATGCCGAGCATGGTGCTGAGTGAGTGAGTGAGTGAGTTTGGTTTAACGCCGCTTTTAACAGTATTCCAGTTATATCACGGCGTGTCAGCTTAATGTGAGAGGACAGCCCGAAGTGATGCAGGTCTCAGACGTTTACCACTTCGTTGAAACCCACGAGCACGATGGGGTGCCTACAAACCTAGAAACATAATCGGGGCGAACCGGGATTCGAAACCACAATCATAGGTTTCTGGGGTGGCCAAGGGACGCAACTCTGCACAGCGAATCGCGGCTCCTTAGACGACTGGGCCACCCGTGCCCCCAGCATGAGGCTGAAACCTATATACTAACTGAAGAAGTGAATAAAGCAACTCTTATAGACACGGACTCCTATACACACAAAAGTGTTTACTCACATGTGTTTACTTGTTCAACAGACCCGTGAAGATCCGGGTAGAGAATATGTCTTCTGCAACCCATGCTTGCCGTGAGAGTAGACGAGGCTTGTCGTAAAAGGCGACAAACGGGATCGGGTGGTCAGGCTCGCTGACTTGGTTGATGCATGTCATCGTATCCCAATTGTGCAGATCGATGCTCATGATGTCAATCACTGGATAGCCTGGTCGTAACTCGATTATTGACAGACCGCTGTCATATAGCTTGAATATTGAATACAAACAAACACACAAAACATGCTAAACAAAAAATAAAAGCCAACCCACCCATCAATTTCGTCTTGTGTGCAGAATAATTTATTGGTAATCTAACGTCTCCTTATTTTGGAAACTTGTAAAAATTCGCATAAGATAAAATATTAATAGTAGAATGATGGTTTCATTGGAATATATCCCTTTGGTATATAGGTAACAAGGGGGCTGTTTTATACTCAGAACAGCGTCCTGCCAGTTTCCGGTTGACTGACTCTGTGGCACATGTCACCTCAGCAGTTTATGCATGTGTCACGTGACGCATGTGTCAGATGAACTGTGTCAACAGACCACCGGAACTTAGGCCGCTGTCATGTCAGCATGTGCCCGCGCATGTGGTCTGGTGCGCTTATCCTGAGCTGAAGCAGCTGAGGTGGAAATTGGTTCGACGGCGTGTTCAAGTTTAGTGCACTTATATAGCGACGTGCATGCATATGTGTGTGTTTTTGTGTGTACGTGTGTTTGGTATGACGCGGCTAGGAATTGAACGCTCTCAGGCAGGCGCTCTATTCACTAGACCACAGAAGCCAGAATGATAGGAAAGTTTTGTTTAATAAAACAAACCTTTTCAGAAACATATAGTATATACTAAGTCTAGTAATCACTTCGACATGTAACAACGTATGCAGACATGTCATATGTAAAATGCTGTATTTATCGGATGAGAGGCTTTTATTAACTTCATAAACAACACGCACACTGAGCGAGTGAGTGAATGAGTGATCAGTGAGAAAGTGAGTATTGTTTAGTGCCGCTTTAAGCACCATTCCATCAACAACACAGCGGGGCAAACCAGCAATGGCTTTCCATCACTGGACTACTCCACCGCCCCTCTTCATACAAAGCACCGTGTCAGTAGAGGTTATATTATAGCAATGTAGGGGCGGTCGGGTAGCCTAGTGGTTAAAGCGTTCGCTCGTCACGCCGAAGACCCGGGTTCGATTCCCGACATGGGTACAATGTGTGAAGCCCATTTCTGGTGACCCCCCGCCGTGATATTGCTGGAATATTGCTTAAAGCGGCCAAAAACCATACTCACTCACTATATCAATGTATGTGTCCGTATGTACTTACCTCAGCATAAGTCCTCAGCAACCCTTGCTTGCCGTAAAGGCGACGATGCTTGTCGTAAGGGGCGACTAACGGGATCGGGTGGTCAGGCTCGTTGACTTGGATGAGGCATGTCATCGTATCCCAACTGCGTGGATCGATGTTCATGATGTCAATCGCTGGATTGTCTGATCTAGACACGAGTATTTACAGACCGCCGTCATATAGCTCGAATATTGCTGGGTGTGGCGTTAAACAACACCAAACGAACAAATAAAACTTATCTTAACTTGCATGAAACTACTCGTTTCTGATTGGTTACTGAATGTGAAAATTCTCCCACGTACCCCGCTGACCGATAAAATATAAATTCCATATAGCGTGATGGAAAATGCCGAGCTTCTGACCATTACGAATACAGTGATTTGATTATATTATTTCAAACCTGAACACATATCAAATGGAGTTTAGCGAATTAAACCGAGTTTTATCAGATTGTAATGCAAGGACGATAACTCTGGATGTGTTTACGTTGTCAGCTCGCTGTCACGCTGGTCATTCTGATGAAGATATTTAAAATTTAAATAAACGGGCAAACATAATGCCCATAAAGGAAATTCGTTGACAACCGGTCCCGCGGGGTGTTATTTGCCCCACGTCATACACTAATAATGTATGATAAGCATACAATACAGTCTTAACTGTTAAACGATTCACTAGGGTATCGTCTCCTGCATTTGCAAGATCTCGCTATGTAGAATTGCCTCCCTTTGTAGATTAAGGATCCGCGTGTATGTATTCCAGATTTGAATACCAGTTTTCGATCCGAATATGGTCCAATGCCTGTATCACTGTCAGCGTTATTTTCTCAACCATGAAACAGACACGCTTTGATAAACCTGAAACACTGAGTCAGTGACGTTTTCACTTCCAGATAACGGATTTCTGCGACGACCCCTACAGCGCCCCCGGGGAGTACCGCCACAACGTCTACGCCCCGAACAGACAGAACAGGCTGTGCAACTACCGGAGTGCATGGGAGGTCATGAGAAAACACGAGGACTTCAAAAAGAGTAAGCCATAGCTTCATCATAGGGTACATCGTGGGTCACAAGAAGAAATGGACCTTGTGCTTCTTTTGAGTTGGTTAACTCAAAATACCCCTGAACAAAAATGTGTAGAGCTTCTGCCTGGTGAGCTAAAGGTTGGTGGTTCTATCCCAGCATACCAAAAGGAACGTTGCAAGACGGCACTTGTCACCCTGTCTGGCGCTCGGCATTACGGGGACTGGTATCTCAGTGGACCAGCACTATACAATCGGCATTATTCCAGGCTAATACCATCTCTCTTGTGAAGTGAAATATTGACCCTAGTAGCCAGACCCTCCTATGCAAAATACTATATTAAGGTGCGCTCAACGTAACATTTTCGCCTCAATTTGAACATGATGTACTGCTGAGCCCCCCCCCCCCCCCCCCCCCCCCCACACACACACACACCCCACTGTCATGCTTATATATATTATAATGCCAAGGTTATTTCCAACTTTCAGTCGGAGCGCCCCTCCCTGCATTCACGGACACCTCGCCCAGGTTTCACTTTGTGCAGGTGAAACCAACAAGGAGAGTTCTCGTCCTTGACGCCTCCGGGAGTATGACGGTACATTGGTATTCTTCTTGTATAACGATACAGCTGGCCCAAAATATTAGCTTGCAGAGTTGCGTCAGACACCTATGATTGTGGGTTCGATTCCCGGTTCGCCTCGATTATGTTTGTAGGTTTGTCAGCACCATACCCGTGCTCGTGGGTTTCAACGAAGTGGTAAACGTCTAAGACCTGCAACACTTCGGGCTGTCCTCCAACATTAAGCTGACACGCCGATATATCTGAAATACTGTTTAAAGTGGTTTTAAACCCAACTTACTCACTCATTCGACAAATATTTATTATATCGGGGGAAATAGTTGGTTAGGGGGATAAGTCGTTCTTTTTCTTATGATATGTTTAAGTATCGCAATATATATATAAATATATTTATTAGTGTGTGTGTATGTGTGTGAGACATATACTTGTCATGTTAGTTCCGATGGTTTTGTCTAAATGCTGTTCATTTTGTAATATTGGTGAATATTGTCACGCTCACTGTACAATACCCCCTAATAATACTGCAAAATTACTGTCGGTGGCCTAACTCTCTCTCTCTTTCACCCCAGGGGCCATCTATGGAAATACTGCGCCAAGCGGCTAGCAACTACATACTGACCAGCGTTGAGAGTGGAAGCTGGCTTGGTATAGTACAGTTTAACACGGATGCAACAACACTGTCTGAGATGGTTCACATTAAGTCTCAGGCAGACCGAGAACTTCTCACCAACCGCCTGCCTACTTACGCCGAGGGCAAGACAAGTATTGGTGCTGGTCTTGGAAAAGCTCTTACGGTAGGCGTATGTCCCAATAACATGTTGTTGAGAAGTTAATGGTTGCATGTTCCTAACATACACAAAAGTGGCATAGAGCGCAACCATTTTAGAATGGGAGATAACCCTGCCCATCAGATTAGTGTGGGATGATCATTGAAACGGGATTAACTCGAACGACATGATAAGATAATCGCGTTGAGCGTAATATGTCAAACATCTTCGATGGACTGCTTGCTGGTGGACGTTTAAAGGTAACATCGGTTAGGTCAACTTCGAGTTCACTTCATTTGTCAATTATTGTATCTTTCACGAACTGTCAAGTAATGTTTCTGGACGGTTTTTGATCGTGCTTATATGTGTTAAGTTCAGCGCAAACTGAGCCGGGAATAGCTCCATAATTGCTGATGAAGCTTTAATCACTGATCACTCACTCACCCACTCAACGGGAAATGAAACATATTACATTATATTGGTATTAATATTAACAGGCCCTAGAAAGTTCGAAGACCGGTAAAGGTGGAACTTTGATATTGATTACTGACGGCAAGGAGAACAAATCTCCGTGGATAAAGGATATCAAACCGAGGCTCTTCAATAGCAAGGTCATGATTCACGCCATCGCCTACACGCAACAAGCGGAAGCAAGCATTGCGCAGCTCGCGGGGGAAACAGAAGGGCGGACGTTTTTCTTCACTGGCGAATCCAACTCTACTTCTTTGATTGACGGACTTGCTGCGACTGTTGAAAAACAAAGCTTCGACGATTTTGCGGTCTCTGTAAGAGTTTTTTCTCCTTAGCTTGGTTTCCTAGTTTTGACATTTATTGAATATAACGCAGCAAAATTATGTTCGTTTAACGCCGCACTCAGCAGTATTCCGGCTATATGATAATCGAGTCTGGACCAGATAATCCAGTAATTGACACCATAAGCATCGATCTACGAAACTGGGAAAGGTTTGCATCAACCGAGTTGACCACCCGATCCCGTTGGTCGCCTCTTACAAACATGGGTTGCTGAAGATCAATTCTAAACCGGATCTATTGCCATATTTAATTCGTTTGTATTCTGGTCTGTGATATCCTAACGATAACAGAATGTTGAACGGTATCGTGACCTTGACCTTCACAGTGATAACGGAAGGCTGGGTCGTACTTGCCCGTTTCGTGAAAATTATAATGATCGTATGTTTATCCTGAATTGTTTGCATCCATTCTGATTGGTTCTTCCTCTGGGGTGCGAATGCGGATACCAGGCATTAAAACACAAATACATCACAATTCACATAAATGCATGATAATTAATATACGGTAAATGCATTTTGTTTTGTTTACAAACTATGGATACAGGTGAGTTCTGAAGCTGCGCAGGTTCTTCGAAAGACTCCTCACGTCGGAAGCTTCACCATCGACAGCACCATCGGCCGCGAGACAACGGTGACCATCACCTCAAACAAACCAGTCGATGTCGTCTTAAGTGATCCCACTGAGGCCAGGGCGAATACAGATGTCTTCAGAAACAGCACCAATGGCATCATGACGGTGATGATACCAGGTCTTGCAATGGTAAGAATACCACTGGTGGTTCCAGTAGCAGAGCTGATCAAACATTGGTCTCTGCAAAGTGATTTCTTCCCGGCTGTTCGAGACCATGGATTATTGTCCAATAACATATTTAACCATACACATCTACAAAATATGAAATAACATCCAAATGGAGCATAAAACGATTCTTAGGTCTAGAGCTGCGGCAATCTAGACTTGAGTTAGGTTCATTTTCGTATTTATTCTCTGGGGCCGAGGAGACAGATTACGTTAAACCGACCTCGCCAAGTCACACCGTAAACACGATACATACAGACACAAATAATATTTTTTAGCTATCGTGCACATGCTTTATCGTTTTGCAAGATGCATATATCATACCGAGTTTGATTTACAGAAAGGCAAATGGAAGTACACAGTAACAGCCATAGGACCATACGCCAACGCCCTGGTACACGTGCAGTCCAAGGCAAGGTCAAAAGGTCATGACGTCGTTCACGCACGATCCTGGGTTTCCACGGAATTGTTAACATTTGAAACCAAAGCAAGGTTCACTATTTTTGCTGATGTAACTCGAGGTACTGCCCCCGTCCTTGGTGCTAAGGTCAAGGCCACAATGGAAAGGCCAGGAGCAGGTACCTCCGAGGTGGAACTACTCGACGATGGTGTCGGTACGTATAAGAAATGATGTTCTTGCCTGAACTAAAAGATAACACTGTTCGAGGGCAGTATAACTAAATAGCTGAGATATTCAATTGTTATAACAAGCATTAATGAATTATGATAACGTTCGAGTGAACTGATCCCTAGCCGTACCAGGATCTGCTAGTCGTGGGTTCGAATCCCGGACTGTCCTCGGTTATGGTTCATGGTACCGGGCCTTTGTTTGGCCAAAGTGGGTATCTACGGCAGTTGTTTCTTCGGACGCTCTTGCCACAATAAGTTATGATGACGTGGTGTAACAGAAATATTCTACTAAGTTACGTTAAAATTTAAAAAGCTCTTTCATGTTTATCATGGTTCACATCTCTCTGTATGTCTGTATTTCTCTCTCTGTCTCTCAAAATTTTAATAAAATACTTTATGCGAATCTTCCTTTTAGGCTCCGATCTGATCAAGGACGATGGGATATATTCATCGTACATTCTTCCACGTGATCTTAAAGGGAATGGAAGATATAACATGAAGGTGAAGGTTTTTGGAACAAACGTGTTAACCAAGGTCATTACGAAAGGTCACCAGACAGGCGCTCTTGAAACCGGGAATTCAGGAAACGGTAAATATTACACATCGAAAATACACTGAAACCTCTTTACAACGACGTTCTAGGGTTAGAATTGGTCTTCAGCAACCCATGCTTGCCGTAAGAGGCGACTGACGGAATCGGGTGGTCAGGCTCGCTGAATTGGTTGAGGCATGTCATCGTATCCCAATTGTGTAGATCGATGCTCATGATTATTTACAGACTGCCGTCATACAGCTGGAATTTAACTGATTGCGGCGCCAAGCAATAAACAACAAACAAACACACATAACGAAGACTTAGGTCTATCAAGGTATCCGTACCTCGGTGTAACGGAATGTTGTTACTTTAAGATCGAGGTAACTACGTTTTAATGTTGTAGTGTTTCAGGTTTTAAAGTATAGGTTGTGATATTATAAACTTTCTGCACATGACAGGGGCGATAGGGTAGCCCAGTGGTTAAGGCGTTGACACGTCACACAAGGCCAGAGTGTGAAGAAAAATTGCAACAATTCTTGCTGAAATAGTGCTGAAACCGACGTTACACCTTACTCGTTCACTCTCCTTGTACTAACGAACGATCAACGAAATATGTAGGTGTCACTTTATAAAAAAACTACATTTTATCAATAGTTACGTATATCCATCCCCTCGCCAGTATAGCGGTCAGATCGGAATTATCGTCACTGTTGTACTGACGAATTGCCATTTGTCATTGTAGCGAATGTGACAGTATCCACACTGTTAGTTGTTACATTAGACGTGTTGGAACACCCCCAAGCTTGACACAGTGGCATGTTCCAATCGCACGATTCCGGCTGTGACACAGTGGCAAACGCCATTGACCTTCGATTTGGCGCTTACGATGGTGTACTGTGCCGTGTACGTCACACTCTCGCGATTTCACGATCTCGTTACCTCGCGAGACCGAAACATGGCCGCCTCCATGTAATGACCGAAGAGTGTTAGATTGGTATATTTAGAGACTATTTTATTTTAAATAAGAATTTATTAAAAAAAATATACACTCAATATATACATATGCACACTCAATGACCCCTGACGTCACAGGGTATTGTTTCGCCGGTTTGACTGGCAACAATATACTACAAATTACGTCATAGAGTATTAAAAAGTTTGTGGTACCGTATTCTAAAGGTAGGCCAAAAATAAATGTGAAAAATATAGTGGAATATTCCTTTAGTATACGTACCAGACATGTTTCACCATATATACACACCGGGGGATTTTCGTAGATTTTTCCTCTATCCAGAAATTTTATGTAACCTTTGTAATTCTACCAATAACGTTGATCTTACTTTTGACGTAAATTGTAACGTGCTGTATTTGTATCCAAAGCAAACTTAGCTACGGCCTTTGTGAGTCTGTATTAAAGTGTAAACGTTAAAACAGTATTAGAGCTAAGATTGCTTTGTGGAATAGACTCTTATTGGTGTAAAGGCTGTGTCATATAATCTGATGTCAGGGAGCAGATGAAGCATTTGTAAGGGGAGCCAAATACCTACTGCCGTTGGCCAGTTACAAAATGTGTCAGAAAACTGATTCCGTTTCAGTATTTCAATATGAGTAGGTCACTTTGTAAACAAATACAATGTACGTATTTCGTCAACAAAAACAGAGGATACGATTTTAAACAATGGCTATTTTATATGCAATTTTATAGAAACTATGCTTGACTTTTTTCATTGTTCTTATATTATATGTAAGTATCTCTAAGGGAAACGGATGGACCAGTCGTCTAAGGCCCAGTGACTGTGCATAGGGTTGTCCCTGGGGCACTCCAGAAACATATGGTCATGGGTTTACCCTGATTAGGTTTCTGGGTTTGTCAGCACCATACCCATGCTCGTAGGTTTCACCAAATTCACCAGTGAAAATCTTAATACCTGTACTAATTCAGGATTAGTTCACAGCGGCGTTTAAGCAACACTCACTCCTTCATTTCAGTAATGAAGTCCGGGCCGGAGACAGAAAGTGTGGGTGACTTCCAAAGAGTGACAACAGCGGGGGAGTTTCGAGTACAGGGATACCCGTCAGTTGAACCTGACATTCGAGACGTCATACCACCTGCGAAGATTGGTGACCTCACCGTGACGTCGTTTGACCCAGATGTTGGAGTTGTGGCGCTGGAATGGACTGCCGTTGGTGACGACATGGGTCGAGGGAGAGGTAATACGCCCGAAATTGTGGGAGGATATGGTACTAATGAGGACAAAACAATAAATCGACAATATGTTTAGACACACAGACGAAAATTAACATTATGTAAAGATTTTTGAGATTCCCTTGTCAACGAGCTGCAACAAGCGTGTTATTCAAGCAACGACCAAGAGTGAAATTTTCCAGTAAAAGTCCTCGCTTTCATCTGGCAGTAATTTAATTAGGAATTGACTTTTACTTTATGCGAGTTCATTGGAGTATGAACCTTCATAGAATGAGAGCCAAACTGTATATTCTATTTAGCCCTCACTCTATGAACGTTCATACTCCAATAAACACACAGAGTATAAGTGAATTCTTTTACTTTTTTGTATCAATGTTTGGTACCCCAAGGGATGTAGCGCTAGATTTGACTGCATGTGTAACTTCATGTTTACACTGACAGCCATACAACAACCAGCTGTATCGCGGAATAAAATAGTTTCCCCAAAAGAGAGGTGACGTATGTATGCTCAACTTGCTTTACAGGAACATCCGTTGTTTGTTTACAAGAAATGTATTCAAATACTATCATCATTGGGTGAGAAACGTTTAGTGTTTAATAATTACCTTAGCAAGCCCAAGCGCTTCGTAAAACATTTACATCAAGAACAAGACGTTGAAAATGGCCCACACGATAAATGCAACGGGAGACATTTCTTAAGTTTTTACTGAACTTATGGCGGTCACATTTGTAAGTCATCATTGATCATTTGGCCGATCATTGAAAGGTGATTTTAAAGATGTGTTAAATAAATTCGAAGGTAAATTCATAGAATTCTGTAGACTATTATTGTAACTGTAGGCTATTTTTGTATAAACGTCAAATTGTATCGTTCATACACCTTTGAACGTCAGTTTCGCTGTCATGTGGTCGGCCTCTAGATCTCTTCCAGTGGAAAAGCCGAACATCGTGTAAACTTTAAATTGAAAAATTATTCGAGTATGCTCTTTGTTTTCGGAAAAGAACTTATATCCTGTTAAATTTTCAGATTAGGGATTAAAGTCTCTAGCAAGACATATACTGGTATACAAGAATGATGTGATACTACTGATAGTTGGCTCAAACGGTAAAAGCATATTCATTCATTATTGGGGCGATAGGGAAGCCCAGTGGTTAACGCGTTCCCTCGTAACGCCGAGGGCTTGGGTTCGGTTCCACATAATTATGGGTACAAGGTTTGAAGCCCATTCCTGGTTTCCCCCGCCGTGATACTGCTGAAATGTTGCAGAAAGCTGCGTAAAACCATACTCACTCATTCATTTTCTATATTCTTCAATATATTATTGTCCAAAAAGTATAAAGTACTTTGTTGCATTACTGACATCATAATGTTTTTCTTTTCTCAGCAGCTGGATATAAGATCCATATGTCCAGGGATATAGGGGAGTTACTGCACCGCATCGATACCACAGAAGACATAAGCAGCTTGGCACGCAATAGGACTTTACAAGAACCGAAGGTTGTCGGTCTGCTGGAACAACTGGAACTGCAGATGAAGCAGGTGAACAAGAACGACACCATATTCCTGGCTCTGCGAGCATACGACGACGCGAACAACTACGGCGATACATCCAACATCGTTTCCGTCTCATACGTCGACGAGGTTGCTGTGCCACGTCAGCGCATTGACGTTCCGATGACGTCGTTTCTTGCTGTCATCATTGCACCAATGGTTGGATTTGTGTTGTTTCTTGTGTTGATGACGATTGTGTGTTTGGTATGGTCAGGCAAACGACAAACGGAACACAGTAGGAGGAAAATGTTTCGAGCGGACAGTACGTCCTCATTGAAGTCCGTAACATCGGAGTTTCCTCACATGAACTACCGAGTCGATGGCGCGTATGTTAAACGCTGGAAGGAAGAACCTTCTTCATGGACCATGCCGTGAAGACCGTTACCAACTTATTCACGTATGCCAAAGACTCTATATAGTGCTGCATTAACTGAGAGAGAAGTATAACACGCACTGACACGCTATTAGTGTTATGCTCGTGGAATATAATCATTTCTCATGAACAAGGGTAAGCTGGTCATTCGACGATAGATTGATCTGTTCCAGCGAAACTTCAAACCGGTGGCTTCGAGAGATAGCGATAGGTATTTGTCATATGTGGCAAAGGATATGACAACACTATATAACTGTGAATTTATACATGATGCTAAAACATATATCCTTGTGTTTTGTATCGGTGTCATTGCATTTATTCATTGAAGAGAAACCCCTTTCCTACGAAACATACGAGAGCAGGTACATACGTGTGCAAATATACACAACACTCTTCAGTTTAGTTGGACAAAGAATATTTCGAAATAACCGGAGTTTCGAGACAAACGTTCCACGGGAGGTGCTAATCTACACAGGAACATTCAAATGATGGTTTAACTACGAGGCAATAGGATTTCTAAACAGCCGTGTACATAAAGACATGTTACCACAGACCCTGTAAATGTGTGTCAGCCTTCTGAGACAGTTTTGTCCTGATTATGATCTTTGATTTGCCAGCACCAAACCTGATCACATACGTTTACGAGAGTGGGGTCAGTGGCGTCAGGCGCCGAAAGGTGCCTTGTAGAGTTGTGCTCCTTAGCCGATGAAGGATCCGCAAGACATGGAACTGGAGATAGGGAAAGAGTGACATCCGTGTTCGTGTTTCACCAGTTTTGTTCGTGTCAAGGACCTGTAGCATCTAGTGCTTTCCTCCCTCTGTAGGCTGTCAGGTGAGGATGTAACTGGTCATTGATCAGCTGCTGTGCACGGGTGGCCATATGACTTGTTGACGGTGCCCGGTAGTTCAATTTCCTACACGGACATAGCGTGGTAAGTCCATTCATGGTGGCCCGTCGTGAAAGAGGTGGTATAGTGTTATAAGCTGCGTTAACCATTGTCTTCTCATTCACTGTTGTCACATGTGCAAAGACGGACTCACACGACGTTGAGTATTGTTTTGAAAATATTTGCTGATGGAATCAAAGAAGATGGATACCTTTCTGTAGAAAGCATAACATGCTGCGTGTATATCTCGATGTATATAGATAGTACTGTGAACGTTAGCCACAAGCTTACCTCTACAGATATATTTTGATATCATATTATTTTGTCTTGTATGTAATAAACATATTGCTCGATGACCCTGTTTGTTCTAGACTGCGATTACTCAGTTTAAGTAATTAGTGTCAATTATACCTACAGAGCTCCAGATAAACTTTTGGTGTTGTGGGTATTTTACCCATTGAATTTTAAAATCATTGGGTATCAGTAATTCTATCTGGGTATTCAAATTTCTGTTACCCACTAGTTTTTACACATGTGGGTATTTAAGTTAAATATTTAAAAACACTATTCATGTAGTCCCTGCAAACTGGTGTCGTGTGGGTTCGAGAGCTTTATAGGACTCAAAAATACGATACTTCCACAAGAAAGTGTGATGGCAAATGATCATGATGTAACTGTCATCGTGGAGTTTGGCACGGTTGACGGAATGCCCGTTTATAATTTCAAAATAAGTTGCTGATTTGCCCATCGAATACGCAGGGTTACTTCACAATATTTTGATGATACACACAAGTTTTATTTTTGTAGCGTATCTGTAATGTTCGTTGCGTATTTGATACGCTTGGATTTTATTTTGCTGCGTATTTCTGCATTTCTGATGCGTATTTTACGTAGATACGCAGCTTATCTGGAGCTCTGTACCTATGTAAGAGAAAAAGGCCAGTAAACAAAATGAATGGACACTTATTTATTCCAACTGAAACGTTGTAAAACCGTACCGTATAACTCCAAGTGAAAATCTTTCTATTTATTTTGAACGTCAATGCAAGAGAATAACCAGTCTTGATTATCCGCAGAACAGATTCCATTTGGCGCATAGGGAAAAATGGCTGCGAAACTATATGAATGGAAGACCTAAAATCAAGTCTTCGCGAAAGGGGTAATCATGTTTTGCCCTACCGGTATTCACACAATGTGTGTGTGTGTGTGTGTGTGTCAGTGTGTGTGTGTGTCAGTGTGTGTGTGTGTGTGTGTGTGTGTGTGTGTGTGTCAGTGTGCGTGTGTGTGTGTGTGTGTGTGTGTGTCAGTGTTAGTGTTAGTGTTAGTGTGTTAGTGTGTGTGTGTGTGTTGGTGACTCAAAGTGTTGGATATGTGGTTTCAAATTACAATGCTTGCGTTTATACAAACCCTAGAAAAACAAGAAAAAAGAATTCCTCCTACACATTTCTACATGATCATGACACAGCTCCACAACAACCAAACCTGATTCTTCGTGTTCAGGTCAGACAGATTGTTGTTTTTTTCTGATTTGGCAGAGTGCCACGAACATGCCAACATGAATATTCTGGCTACGCCCACTTTGACACCTTACATTAGGCCGGAGTTGCCGACTAGGGTGTGTTCATGTACGTGAACGTGATAATAAAACAGCTTTCAAGATCTCCATCTATCTTACATAACTTCAACTGACAAATAAGACGGATTGATGTCGTGTTCAAACAGGAATGGTGCAGGTGGCTCGTTAGCTCCAGCGTGCCCACCTGGAAAAGTAATTATTGGGTGATATAAAGGTTTATTTTCTTTTGATTTCCTAATATGGAAGGGTTCTCACAGTTCGAACTATTTCTTTTTATATACAGCTTTTGTTGAAACGGGGCGCGGTCGCCTCGCGGCCTGAGGCGTTAAAAAACACTATGCAGAATTGCGGCCCTTTGACATGCTAGGATCCAGTGCAAGTGAATCCAAAATCCGTACTGATTATGAAATTTTGTTTAACAGCACTTTTCACCCAAATTGAAAGCATCTTCGATCTGGTTTGCCTTGGCTTCCTCCAACTCGAAGCTGCTACGCCCAGATACATGTAAAACACTGTACAATCGGTCTATTTCTATATTGATGGGCTATTGCTTTAAAACGGCGTAAAACTAAACTCACTTGCTCACAGTTTGGGTGTACGCATAAAGAGTGAGCGAAAGAGTGAGTGAAATATGTGTACGTGCAATGCAATATGCATCATGGGAGTAGTGTTGACAAAAGAAAAGCAGCGTGATCGTTTTGATTTCTAAGATGCACATCTAGAATTATCTCCGTTTAACTTGTTTTTGTGGATTAGATGTTTCACGAAGACTACATTATTATTATTATAACGGAGCTGCAAGCCATATTTCTATAATCCATACCAGACTTTCCTCATTGGAGACCGCCTCCGTGGTCTAGTAGCAGAACGTCCGCCCGGAGAGCGGAAGGTCCGGGGTTCGATCCCTGTCCGCTTCATGCCAAAAGACGTTAAAAGATTGTACTTGTTGTTACCCTGTCTGGCACTCGGCATTGAGGGGCTAAAACAAAGACTGGTCGGCTCGGAGTCAGTATACTGTGTCTGAGGTTAAGCATGTTAAACTGCGGCATGATATCTCAGTGAGCTAGCACTATAAATCGGCATCAGTCCGGACTAGTACAAGCAGCCAAACAAACACACATACGCACGTGCACGTCGCTATACAAGTGCAAACATCGTTAAACCCCATTTCACCTCACCTCACCTCGTTGGACTTTTCTCCTAGAAATTGTCGATAGGACTCCCTGTGACAGAAATACTTCAACCAGAGGCGGGCACATCGGTAGTTACTCGATATTGCAATCTGTCTGTTCTGTCTTGTTTTAATGGGCAAAAAAGATTTGATCTCGCTTTCCCTACAGAACTTTAACTGCCATGCCATGATTTGTCAGAAATACTCCAGTGCTACAATACAGGCACATAAACTAACATTTTATGGGTGCTTCAATCATCTTATACAATTATACCATCATTCTTACAAGCTATCATGAACTACCTTAAAACACAATATTAATATAAATAAGCTGTGCATACTTTGTGGCAATATATTCATAATACACCCTCAAATTACTTCAAAGTAGAAAACAGTTCGAAATAGGTAACACAAATAAATTTTATTAATCATCCTACTACTTGCTGCATAAGTTAAGTAATACGTAGCATATCTATCCGCAACCGTGAAGATTTGGGGTAGAATACGTCTTCAGCAACCCATGCTTGCTGTAAAAGGCGACTATTCTTGTTGCAAAAGGCGGCTAACGGGACAGGATCGGGTGGTCAGGCTCGCTGACTAGGTTCATGCATGTCATCGTATCCCATTTGCGTGGATCGATGCTCATGATGTCAATCACTGAATTGTCTGGTCCAGACTGGATTATTTACAGACCGCCGTCATATAGCTGGAATATTGCTGAGTGCGGCGTTAAACAACAAACAAACAAACAAACAAACAAACAAACAAACAAACAAACAAAAACAAAGAAACAAAGATGCTTCCTGTCATCAGCCCCACTCTGTTAAATTGTTTGATAGGCATTACTTAGAAGTTGACGGATGACAAGGTAGACACAATTTTATGGATAACAACTTCTTTGGTACTGTAAAAAGCGATCCTGACAAAGTTATTTCACCTTTCAGATTGGAAACAAGCATCAGTAACGCCAATTAAAAAAACAGACAATGTACATGAATGTTCAAAATAGAGAACTGTCTTGCTTGACAACGGTATAAGGATCTATACCGAAACGTCGCTTTCTATAGTATTAAAGAAGTTGTTATCCATAAAAGTGTGTCTACCTAGCTCCACTCTGGTATTGAGAACTCGCTCTGTTTTAATCACCTGTGTATTTTGTGGCTGATAATGACGAACTCTGGCAAAACATAGCTTATTGAAGATATTTGAAACAATGATATACAGATACCTGTTTTCAAATATCATTTAGAACAGACAGACAAAAACAAGGTGCGGAGTTGCGGTATACGTTATAAATAATTTATGCGCTAAAATAATCGAAAATTTTAAAATTGCCGAGTTTCAGGCGATATGGATAAAACTCGCATTTAAACTGGTACTTTGTAACGAGCAGATAAAAGCGTTTATCATATAATGGGTAGGTTTCTCGGCAGGATAAAGCCAACGGATAAAAACGATATCCGTTGGGGTCATATGCGGATAGAGATGCAAATATCAAAGGTCAAGTAGGACTACTTTCACTGTTTATAAACAAGCATGGCGTCGCCCTCGTCATTCGGCGATCGAGTCAGAATTAACCATCGTGAATCTGGATAAACTACAGGGATAATTGCTATCATTATCAAACGAACAGTCTAATATACTGAAAATCAGTGTCTAACTGTGACGTAGCTAAGGCATTTTATAAGTTTTGGCAACTTTCGAGATATAAATTTCGAAACAATTTTGCGAGGCGGGATCAGTAGCCATATCTGTGCTTGTAGACCTCTGTGGCTTGAAACCTTTTCCACAAATCAAAATGGTTGGATTCGGCCGAAATATGTTTGAACTGTTACCTTGTATCGTTTTGTCGCTGTGTGTACATCTGACTACACTTCTTAACGTTATGAAAGGACAGACCGACTGTCAACAACGTCTGACCGTGGCCGTGACGTCTCATAGACTAGAGTAAGAGTAGCTTCCCTTTGACAAAGGGCAGTTACTCTAGCGGACAGACCGATGGATTGCCGCGAAAGGCAATTAAAAACACCTGTTGTTTTGCCTATAAGTTGCTTCGCCACTGTATAAGAAACAGATTTCAGTTGGAACTATATTGGCTACTGTCACTGTCCGACTGACTAATCACTTACCCTGTGACGTAATAAATATTAATGCGCGCATTCCAGGAAAACTCGCAATGTTTCGGTAATGTTTGTGAGAGAGGGAAAGCGATTTTAAAGCACAGAATTAAAGAATGACATTATATGATAAAGAGGTTATCACGCTTGTGTGTTTGGGGATGGTAAATATCCTGCATTAGGAATAAACACTATGTATTTAGCTCGCCAAGGCTCGCTAAATACAATGTTTATTCCTAATGCAGGATATTTACCATCCCCAAACACACTCGCGTGATAACCTCTATCTATCATTGGAACTTATTTATTCAGTCAATAGGCAATGCAGTTGATCTTAATATGTTTACCTTTCTTTCAACATAGATATTCTAAGTGAAAACAGTCAAAGGACAGTATGTACGGTTTAAAGTAAATAATTACAGAACCTACAAGAATAACCCCTTATTCTAACACCCTGATTGATCTGATGTTCGTATCCTGTGTAAACAATGT